CCGCCGCCTGATTCGGTGCCGGAGACGGAGCAGGCCGCCGCCGGAGACGCTGTTTACATCACGGTGAAAGATGATGGCAAGGGGTCTGGGGCTGACGTGGCGGAAGCAAAGGAGGAGGATGAGGCCGCCGCCGGGGACGCTGTCGTCATCGCTGTGAAAGACGACGGCGAGGGCGTTGGGAAGGGGTCTAGGGCTGACGTGGCGGGATCGAAGGAGGAGGATGAGAAAGTTTGTAGGATTTGTCACCTGAGTCCAGATCGGACGGTGCCGGAGGAGGGATCGGAGTTGGTTATGATCGGATGCGGGTGCAAGAACGAGCTTGGGACTGCGCATCGCCAATGTGCTGAAACTTGGTTCCGACTGAAAGGGAACAGGTAACTTTTTTGTGGATTTTTGGATGATTTTAGTGCAATTGCGTTGTTTATTTGAGATTTGAGTTTATTTCTGTTTAAATTACTGAGAAAATGAGGTAAAAACATTAATGAGGGAATTATTTTGTTGTGAGCTAAAGACTCAGTTTAGGTGGTTTCATATGACACAGAAAAAGGGTAACTTACTTAGGCAAAATAAGCAATTATTCTAAGTTTTTTTTGGATGATTTCAGTTACATTCTTGGTTTATTTCAAATATTAGTTTAATTCTAAGTAATCTACTAAAAAAAGGTGTATTTCGAGTAGATTAATGAAGGAAGTGTTTATAATTTACCAAAGACTAGGTTTTGGGATTTCATATGGTACAAAAAGACTATTTTGGCAAAACAAATAAAAATGCAGATAATTATAGGTAAGTTAGAGGGACAAATTTTCAAAACAGACCTGTTTTGAAATTTATTCCCAAAAACAGACATGTTTCCAACTTAATTTTAAAAACCGACCCAGTTGACTGAAACTGGGTCAATTTAAAAAAAAAAAATTCACAAACTTCACGGGAGTTCAACTCTTGTCAAGTTTTGTTATGAGAAAAAACTTCACGTGAGTTCAACTCCCGTGAAGTTTGTGAACTTTTTTTTTTTCAAAAACCGACCCAGTTTTAGTCAACTGGGTCGGTTTTTAAAATTAAGTTGGAAACAAGTCTTTTTTTGGGAATAAATTTCAAAACCGGTTTGTTTTGAAAATTCCTCCTAAGTTAGAGCTTTTCCTATAAGAAAAGGATGTGCAACCACTTTAAATTAGAAAAGCCTTCAACTGCGGACTCCAATTTATATACATAGTAAGGAACTGATACTTACCTTTCCTCTGTATTTATGATTTATAATTGGTCTTAGAAAATTATACTCCTATCTTAATAGATAGGAAGTGAAAAAGACAACATGACAGTTATGGGAGCTACCTTTGACTTCCCTAACAACCCAAGGGAGAGACCACCCCCCTCCCCACCAAAAAAAAACTTAATATTTAGAATATCTAACAACTATTTGTTACCAGATAACCATATTACAAAATCAGAAGTGTGAATTGAGTTACCCAAAAAAGAAATTTTGAAGTTTGGATTAAATGTCATGACAGAGAACTGACCTATGATTAGCCTTGATGCAGATAAGGATATTCGACAAAAACTAATATTGATAAAGACAAAAAAGAAAATCTTAAAACAAATAATGCAATGGATCCTCTTACTTAGTTATGATGCTCTTTCATTCCTGTGATGAAATAACAATATTCATTTTTCAGAATAGTTATGTTCCTTATAATGTAAAACTGTGCCCTCAAAAAAAAGTTCAAGGTTATTTGCTCCTAAAATGCCTAACTCCTATCACCCAGCTAGCAAATAGGTAGACCTACTTTCTGATAATGTAATAATTAGTGAGCTTGCACAACCAAGGAGCTACAAACTACCTTAAGATTAGACTAGGAATGCCTAAACGAAATGTATCACTATAATCATCTCCAGAGCACATTTTCAGATCTATGCCAGAAAAAGAGTCAATGACTAAAATAGGTGAAGGTGCAAGCAGGTCTGTATTCGATTTTTTCTAGTTTAATTGACGTGTCCAAGAGGCAAGTGCTATTGATTTTAGTATGGAAATATACTTATCACCTTGCTTGGATTGTATTGTGACATAGAGTTGTATATCTTAAGATACCTAACAACATGAGCCTTTAAAACTTTTTTGTTGTATTTTATTTTATGTTGTTGATGTTTTGACATTTTGACACCTATCACGTTTTAACAAATATGCATGACAAACACAAAAAAGCTATGCATTCAATAGACATACTGACGGTTGTGCATACACGACCACACATCGTGCACACAACCACAAATGCGTAAACATGCTACATGCGTAGACACACGCAATCATCGGGGTTGAAATTCATATTGTAATTGAAATTGCTGAAAATTCTTTTGGCTTCAAGGATATTGAAATATTTATGGGGAGAAACTATAGTAGTGACAATTATCATTTAGTTTATTTTTTAGCCAATTCCAGTTTAAGGTGGCTTTGTGTTTTGTTTTTATCAGTTGGTATGAGTGAACCAAAATAGTACAGCTCGGGTTACTTCTCATATCATTGATTAGGAGGTCTGGTAATTTACTTATGAGTTAATGTGAATAACTAGAATGGTTGATTGAAGGTTGTGCCTACAGAAAAAATATACACTAGATGATGTTTACAAAAACAGTTAAGGCCTAAATTACTTTAATTTCTGATATTTCTATAATATTTAAATACAATTTTTTGTGTGTATAAGAATAGATTTATTTTCCTTCTTCTATCTAGCGAGCTTCTGGATGATTAAACTCACTTGGCTCCTTATCAAGCTCCTTCCCCAAGCAGCCTGTGGCACACTATTATTTCTGATCTTAACCAGTGCTTATGAGATGGGGCATGACATTTATAGGGAATTTCATGTATGTGGTGTTGGTAGTCTCAGGAATGTGCATGTATGTTATCAAAATACATCTTCGGTATTTCCATCAGGGTAAAAGATTTGACCATAGTCTTGCAAAATTGTTTTATGGTGAAAAAGTCACCTGGCTCCTTATCAAGCCCCTTTCCCAAGCAGCTTGTGACACTATTATTTCTGATCTTAACCAGTGCTTATGAGATGGAGCATAACATTTGTAGGGAATTTCATGTACGTGTGTTGGTAATCTCAGCATGTATGTTACAAAAAGACATATTTGGTATTGCCAATACAAAATATTCGGATAAGACTTTGTGATACAGTTTCGCTTGGTGTAAGGTTATGCAGTTATGGAACAATAAGTACTCCTGCATATTTGAAATGTGCTCACATTTGAAATGTGCTCACATTTGAGTTTCATGTAACAGTTGTCCATGCAATTAATGATTAGCGCCTACTGTAAACAGATATCAAAATACATCTACTGTGAACAGATATAAAAAAACATTAACTGAAAAAAGAAAGAAGTATTTCATCTGATAATGTGATTCCACTATCAGTGTTTCTATACAGGCTACTTAGAGGTGGTCTACCAATTAAAAAACAATTTGTATTATCAATTGCTTTTGGATCATTTTAACTAGATATTTCAAGATGTTGTTATATCTTTTCATTTTAGAAATTTTAGAATAAGTATGATTCCTATGTCCCTTTTTTGGAAGAGCATCACGTTCTTCACTTTTAGTGGGTTTTTCCTAATCTTATTGTTCCCACTTTATTTGTTCTCTCTTGCATTGGCATTGCACTATGTTTCATATCTTAAGTTATGGCATCTTTTTTAGTTTCCACTAAATGCATGATAGTAGCTTTGCCTGAATGTTTGGTTTTTCTTTTAGTTATGGTAGACCATCCTGCTTTTTCCCATTTGATGCTGATGTGCAATTTGCCTTTGAATCTCCACCCCAGTACTTGTGTTACTTGTCTGCGCTTCATTGCACTATCAGTTATGTTTTTTACACCATTATTGATTTATGACAATAGTTTACCTATTTTGCTATTACTTGGGTATCACTTCTAACTTTTTCTGTTTTATGTAAATTCTTTTCTATACCTTTTCTCATGGTATTATCCCTTTTATTGTTGACCCAATATGGTTTATTTATATAGCTCCATTTCTTTTTCTTTTCTTCAAAGACAATTCCATCATGCAGCTGTCATCTTCTTTCGGATAGAAATCTAGCATGAATTCTCATCATAGAGACTTTTCTCAACTGCGCTATTAGCACATCGTTCTCTAAATCATACCTTGTTTATTGTGGCCTACCATCAAAAATAAATAAAGAGCTTTTGGGTGATTGAAGGAAACATGGGCGCAATTTGATAGTGTTATGAAGGGAACAATACCTATTTAAGGATTATGGAAGTAAAACTTTCATATACTTTTTCCATGTAGTTAGAACCATTAGAAATTCAGGTTCAAATTATTTAGTAATAACTCGTATTGATAGCCTAGTCTAAATGCATATGTTAAACTATTGCTTTTCTGAATAATGCTTGACAGACATTATTCTAATTTTCAGAGACATGGTTCTTCTCTCAAAATAATTGATGTTAATCCCATAGTATGATACGTCTATGATTCTTCTATGTTTATGACTGATGGTCGACTATTTACTAATGGATCCTATGTAGTAAGCATAACACACAAACGCGCACAACACACTGCAGTTATGCACTTAGAAACTTCTTGATTTTGGACGTAATCTTAGCCTTCCCTTAGCAGCATTCGTTCAGTGGGCCATGTTTCATATCATTTATGCCGGCATTACTTTCCATCTAACACTTTCTTCATGCTCTGTGCCGCATTTTAGGTACCTTACCTTTTGTCTGGCATTTGGTTTATGACAAATCCATTTTCGCAGGGTGCATGGATCACTTTCCATAGTGCATTCTCGTGCTTGTACATATCCATGAACATGGATGACTGATTGTGGTGGCATGCAAACCACAGATTTCTGGAGTCCACACAGAACAGAACGACCTTGATTCCTGAAAAGGGCAAGAAAACATGAGAATGGAACACCAAAATCTAGTGTCAACAAGTCCACAGTCTGCGAAGACCGTACCCAATGATAATAGTAGTCATGATGTTTACCTGCAGAGTTGACTTACTGCATATCAGTTATAACTTGTGCCTAGTATTGCTGCGTCTAATTTTTTTCTGTTGATTGCCACCGTCATCTCTCAGCACTGTTTAAGTCTGGGTAAATTCAAAGAGCAATGCACTTTGAGGATTTTGTACAAAATCCCCCTAAAGTTTACAAATTAGAGAAAAGCCCCTTGACCTCCAAATTTATACAAAACTCCCGTGGACTGTTGAGACTTGGTATAAACAACGTTAAAATGAAGTGTAAAACTGTAAATGATCTAAATTACCTCATTTCTATCTTTTTCGACAACACTTCAATGATCTTTAATTCTCATTGTCTTTACTGCTCAACATCTCCAAACTCCCAAACTCCCTTCATTAATCGTCTAAAGACCTATTCTTCTGTTCTCAAAAACCTAAGTTCCTTGAATGACAAACCCGCCAACCTCACCAGACTTCGAAACAATCAAACTCAGAAGGGATTTATGATTTAAATATCATGAAAATTGGAAAACAGGGTGGGTTCCTCATGGGATCAGGGAGAAGAGGGAGAAGGGGGAAGAGGTAAGATACAACATATAAATTTCGTAAGGACTAAAGTTCCTGGAACATGTCACATGCTGATGGTCATGATATTTTACTGAAAAAAGGTGTTGAGGTTTCCTCTAATTCATAAAGTTTAGGGGGTTTATGCATAAGACCCCACAAAGTTGGGGGTTACATTTGAGATTTACGCTTAAAGTTATCTGGTAAAAACAAAACAAAACAAGAGAACTGCTTGAAAATGCATTTAACCTTTTCTCTCAGGTTTTATAGTCTTACATCCTGCAATGGTGCAGGTGTTGCGAAATATGCGGTTTAAATGCCAAAAACATAGCTGGTAATGAAGATGAAAGCTTCATCGAGGAATGGCACGATGACGCAGCTCAGAGCAGCGCCGGGCACAGGAACTCAACTGAGAGGGTCAGTTGTTGGAGGGGACAGCCATTCTGTAACTTCTTGATGGCATGCTTGGTAATAGCCTTCATACTTCCATGGTTTTTTCGTGTGAATATGTTCTAGCATTTCGCGTGCTTTATCTTTCGCTTCTTGCTTCGGCATTTGCTCCTTCTCAGCATAGAAAGAGGTCGAAATTGCATACCGAAGTATTTTCACAACATACCTTCAGTGTAGAGTGAGTTTTGGTGACAGTAGTAATCTCTTGCACAGTCTGCATACAAGAGGGTAAATTAAGTAGGTGCCGGTCTCCCGTAGCATACTTGTACATGGTAAATACTAATTGAGTTGTTGGATAAGATATTCAGATTGGTTTCTGTTATTTATTTTTTTAATAATAGATTATCAGATTTCAGAATTGCCAATATTTTGTTTTAATTCAGGAATAGATGAGTAATTTTTATTCAGTAACGTGTCTTGGTTGTGCATGATAATGCGTGCTGGATAATAATATACTGATTCAGTATGAAATGTGAGAGCAGAAGAAAAGTGATGTTTATTCAGATACTGAACTCAAAGTTGTATAATTTTGGGTTAGATTTACTGGATAATTTGGGCCCTCTTAAGGAGGAAAAGGTATTTTTAATCTGACCATTAATTGTCTAGTGAGTGATTGAGATATATTTTTATTCTATTACTCATTGTACCCCTGTGTATCGTGCTGATTTTTAATTTGTACTCAAAATCATAACCACCCATTATATGATGAATAGTTATGATTAAGTAATGGTCTCGCCTGGTAGTGGAGCGATCTCCTTATTGGAAGGAAAAATATATTCAACCTCCAATTTTGATCTCTTCTTAATCACATACTTTATGTATGCAAGGTAATGTTAACCTTGTATCATCGAATTTTGTGTTTTGTTATCTGGGTATCTCAAATATGGACACCTAGTATATTTAAGTTAGGTTTGACTTCTTTATTTGCTAATCTTGTCATGCGCATTTCCAGGAGCTGTTAATGCTTTGTATCCATCATGTCAGAAATAGCCATGGCTTGAAGGATTAAAGCCTTTTTTAATCAAAAGGAATTTCATCCTACTGAAATATAAAATTTAATGAAAAATAAATGTTATTCGTTGTTTGGTTCTTCAAAATAGTTGGGATATATAAATGTTATTCGTTGTTGAAGACCTTTGATATATATATTGGCATTGGCATTGGCATTGAATCTTCAATGAAAATAATCCAAAATTCTTAACGTTGATCTCGGAAATTGCCACAAAAAAAAAGGACAATGAAAAACAAGCGCAGGAAAAAAAAAATTCCGTTGCCGGGACTTGAACCCGGGTCTCTCGGGTGAGAGCCGAGTATCCTAACCAACTAGACTACAACGGATTGATATCCAACATCATCCCAACTCTTTATATTCGACATCTGTGATTTGCAGTCGGTACTAGCAAAACTTGTGAGGATATGCTTGTATAATAAGTTGCCAAGGTACTTGGTAAACTGTGCTTAAATAACATTATTATTAAAAATGATCAAAATAGATGCAATTTTAGCTACGTAAAATAAATAATATAATTTCAGGACTATAAGATAATATTGTCAAAAGCTAAATGATGTATGATACAAAAACTTCAATCAAAATAGATGTAACTTTAGCTATAAAAATAGATAAGATGATTTCAGGACTATAAGATAACATTGTCAAAAGCTAAATGATATATGATATAAAAACTATACATACA